AAGTCCCCCGCTGGCGGCCATCTTGGATGATGGATCGGCTTCAAAGTAACAACACTTGGTCAGCACCTCATGAGGAACATTCATGCCATGTTTCGTTTCATTCCATTCAGTGGTTCTCTAGAAGAAGTTCAAAATGTAAAAAGTTAACGACGACGACGGACGCCAAGTGATGAGAAAAGGAAAAAAAAATCCCTCCCCCAAATTTTTTGAACCCCCTTATGATTCATCACCCCCAAACTCAATCCCAGCCTTCCCTTTGTGGTATGGTACCTTGCAGTACAATTTCAGAGAGATCCATAAACTTGAACACAAGTTATTGTCTGGAAACTAGAAAAATGCTTGTTTTTAGGCCCCGTTTTGGCCCCAAATTCCTAAACGTTTAGGGCAATTACACCCAAACTCAAACCCAGCTTTCCCTTTGTGATATGGAACCTTGTAGTACAATTTCATAAAGATCCATACACTTACAAGTTATTGTCCTGAAACTAGAAAAATGCTTGTTTTTTGCCCCTTTTTGGCCCCAAATTCCTAAACGTTTAGGGCAATTACCCCCAAAATCAATCCCAGCCTTCCCTTTGTGGTATGGTACCTTGCAGTACAATTTCAGAGAGATCCATAAACTTGAACACAAGTTATTGTCTGGAAACTAGAAAAATGCTTGTTTTTAGGCCCCTTTTTGGCCCCAAATTCCTAAACGTTTAGGGCAATTACCCCCAAACTCAAACCCAGCTTTCCCTTTGTGATATGGAACCTTGTAGTACAATTTCATAAAGATCCATACACTTACAAGTTATTGTCCTGAAACTAGAAAAATGCTTGTTTTTTGCCCCTTTTTGGCCCCAAATTCCTAAACGTTTAGGGCAATTACCCCCAAAATCAATCCCAGCCTTCCCTTTGTGGTATGGTACCTTGCAGTACAATTTCAGAGAGATCCATACACTTGAACACAAGTTATGTCTGGAAGTTACTAAAATGCTTATTTTTGGTCCCTAATTCCTTAACTGTTGGTACCATAACCCCCAAAATCAATCCCAACCTTCCTTTAGTGGTATTGAACCTTATGATAAAACTTCATAGAGATCCATTTACTTAAACTAAAGTAAGAGTGTGAAAACCAATGTGTCCTCGGACAGCGACGCCAACGTCATACCAATATACGACCGCAAATTTTTTTTTTCGGTCGTATAAAAACTGTTGAACATTCATTATTTGACTGAAGATCAACATTACTACAAAATCTGGTTTCATAAGATTGAGCTACTGTATAATACTGCCAATAAATGATTGAAAGATTTTATATACACTGAGTTTAAGAATTTGATTGAAAGATTTTATATACGCTGAGTTTAAGAATTTGATTGAAAGATTTTATATACACTGAGTTTAAGAATTTGATTGAAAGATTTTATATACACTGAGTTTAAGAATTTGATTGAAAGATTTTATATACACTGAGTTTAAGAATTTGATTGAAAGATTTTATATACACTAAGTTTATGAATTTGATTGTAAGATTTAAGTATTTGATTGCAGACCAATGTATCTAGACAGTATTCTTGGCAATTCTCATGATAAGATTGAGAATTATGGTTCCACTTGTTGTAACCTTATCGTGGATTGTGACATAACTAAATGTGACTTGGCACATACTTTTACTTGCAATGAGTTATATGAGGGTGCAGAAAATGCTTACCCATCAAGAGCCCATGAGTTCACCCCTGCTTGTTGTTGGGGTTTGGGATGCTCAATTTTAAGTTTTCTATGTAGTGTTTTGTTAATGGTCTTCGTATTTCTTTTATTTTTTTGGCCATGGTGTTCTGTTTTAATGGTCTAATGATATTTGATTGCCCACTTAGTAGAAATGTATCTTTTTTGTAATAATTTTCATAATTGATTAATTGATTATTATACTAAGCTACATGAAATTTGACTCTATAGAAAATGTGTATTCAAACTAAATGTATGGACAATGGAAGCTAATAGTAATACTCAATTTTACCCAGCAACAAGTAATGAAAAGTATATCTGTAAACACATACCACACTTTCAATGGTATTCTTTTAATTTTTTACATTTTTTGTAAGTACACTGTACATTTACGGTGAGATAATAAAAAAAATTATTGCTTTTACAGTATAGTTTACTCCTTATTTGTACTTTTTTGCATAAATTTTTTCTACAAAAAAAAAATGAATGTCCATTTCTCTATTAGTTTAAAGTTTTTAGAAATGAATTAATGGACTCTAACTAACATTTTTTACAATACAAGTATACTTTATTTTACCAGTAGATTGGTAATACTGAAAATATCAAAATACTTTCTTTAGAATATGGAAAATATTGAGTTATAAATCGTCTTATATCTTTCATGAACAAACAAGCATACAGCCATACACACATATAAGGTTAAAAAACAGCCCTCATCTTAGCAAGAATTTGAGAAGAAAAGATGTCATGGTACTAATTTTGCGATTAATGTCTACAAACCACTATACGTTGTTTTTAAGATAATAGTACAATAGATTTTATTTAATAGATTCAAATCTGATCCAAAACCATAAATTTTTATATCAAAATTAACTAATACACACAACAGTGCAACAATTCTCCTGGACAAAGTGAACTGAGAGTTTAGGCTCATGTTATAGATCACTTACTTCTGCACCAAACAAATCCTGTACAAACAACAGCAAAAATTGACAGTTTCGTGTAACTTTTCAAACAATTGTATTATCAGATCAATTATCTAGGTCTCTAAGCACCATAACATTTGAAATTGCAATACTTCACATCTGAGTCATTATGATAAAATGTGTAAAAGAAATCCATAAGAAAATGTAGGATTACAATGTTTAACATATTGCCTCTAAATAGAAATTATAGTAAATACAACTTTACAAGGAGTATAATACTTAATCTCAGGAAAAAAGCCATCATGACTTAGCCTTCCGGTCATGAAAATTTCTTATCGCACTCAGAATCATAAATTCAAACAATCAAAATATTGCATTTGGTGTTTCGAGCACAAATTTTGTACTCAGAATACTGAGTAAAGTATGATCATCGTACTCAGACTCAGATTCAACTAATCGAAGTGCTGGGTTTGGCGTTTCCAGCACAAATACTATATATAAATTTTCATGACCGTAGTCCCTGATTGATGTTTGAAAATCTCAAGACCTTCTGTGATGCATATGGATCCTACCACAGTGTGACAGGATAGTAGGTCAACTTCTATTATAGAAGATTAACTGTGACCTAAATCAAACCATTGTGAACATGCAAACATATGGATAGCAAAGTAAAAGGAATGAAGGTCATGTACGTCCGGAGCTGTCTACTTTTGGTTTAATTGATTGATTAAATTATATCAATTGAACATATAAGCCTTCAGTAACAAGTTATTTTACTACAACTAATTTGTCTATCACACAGTATTTCTGATTGCAAATCACTCTGTGACCTAATTCTGGTTCATAAATACATCCAAATACCAAGTGATTCGACTGCTTGGTCACACCTAACCATAGTAAACTTTGACATAACATTTTATCACTGAACCATATAATGTAGGTTGTGTGACCTCCTTCTTATGATGGGCAGAAGGGTATTCCAAAATTGACTCTAAGATTAGATAACAAATTTGTGGTACATTTAGTTTCTAATAAACTTAAGTAAACTTAATAATATTCATCAAAGTTTATTAAGCAGAATATGTTATTCTGCCCTTGTGAAACCAACATAAGTCAGCATAGAGAATATATTTAAATGAATGGATTGATTGATTGATTGATTGGTGTTTAACACCACTTTCAGCACTATTGTGCTATTTCGTGGCAGTCAGGTTTTATTGGTGAAGGAAGCCATCATGCCTTGAGAGAACTAACGACCTTGAATGGAGGACTAAATTCTATAAAAATACATCTTTACCATATATATAATATATATATATTTCAAATAAGAGAGATTATTCAAATTATGGGTTCTTGATTAAAAATGAGGTATAAAGCAGTCTTTTCTACAACACTGTCATTATTGCCCCATGCATGAAAGATATGTAATATCGTAACCAAATTACTTGCTAAGTGAGGAATTATTATGCAATCAAGCAACATTTTGTGAGTGACATCATCTATTTTACAAGAAATCTAATCAGGCATTTAGCTTTTCATCTCCCTTGTTATCCAATTAAGTAAGACAGGATGATGAATTATTTTGTTCAAATTTTCCCTAAATTGTTATCTAGCTCCATGAAACCTCTTCTATTATATAATTAGCAGTCCCAAGTAAGACTCAAAGTGTCTAAAGCAGAGACAATTCAATATGTTAACCTGTCCATTATAACTTTATTAGTCCATTCCTGTCACAAAATTTATGACTATTTATGGAGTTAATCCATACATTTTCTATTAATTATTTACATCCTCAGTACATACTATTGGACCTGTCATTAAGCTATCAATAATGAGAGTAATAAATATATCATATAGATCTAATGAACTTAATCCAACCAACTTTCTTCCTTGTAGAAATCAAATCTATTGCTAACTATTCCAGAAACACAGTACAGATACCTCTTTCCAATAAAAATTATCAACTTAAAACTCTCTGTACCTAACCTCATTGTCATTATTTTGATTGTAAAAACCAAAAATGCTATTCTGATAAAAATAGAACAGACAGTTCACAAAGGCATCAAATATATATTTATCAAAAGTAAAATTAAGTTGAAACTTCTTTGAAAATTACCACATCAATACATTTATCATTTAAAAAAACATAAATAAAATTGTGTAACAACTAAAGCTTCAATAGTCAATGAAAATCAAATTAATTCATTAAAACCAAAAGTAATATTCATCTCCATGTTTCCATCTTCACAGGGTTAAAGGTGAAAGAAAACATATGTTTAGGGTCACAGGAAATAATTGTTACAAAAGAACCTCTTAATAGAAAAGAAATGCTCTAACTACACCTTCATTAGATTATATTGATCTTACCGGAAATCGTAGTTCTTCTTCAAGTATCTTTCCCCGGATGACCTACAATTAGATTTGCATGCTAAAATCATTATGTGTTGTAAATAACAAAGACGAACGTAAATATTTTCAAGCTATTATACTTTTTTTTTATTGCAAGAATTTTTTCAATTTCCTCTAAATTCTTTCGAAGAAAAAAAACATATTGTAAAGCTAATGAATGGATTTTTCTATGTTGCTATAAAAAAAACAACCCGTTTTGGTTAGAAATTTTTTCTATCATGTATTTACAGTTTGATGTGAAATCATTAGTTAACTGTGCAGTGAAAAAGTAATTTCATTTAAAAAAAAAATGGTGTTATGATACTGTATGACTTGTTTCTTCAATGTAAGAGGTTGGCTAAGGCACAATAATTCTTATTTCTTTTCAATTACGTGTTGTAATGATCAATCAGGCAAATTTCGATCACATTACCATCAAAGATAAACTGAAAGGGTTAACTGGTAAACATTTAGAAAAAATTACTTTTCTGTGAAATGTGGTAGTAAACAGTATACATAGTGTCCTTTGGTGAATTAAGGGGACATAACCCATAGGGCTGTACTAAATTAACCCTAACCTAACCTGTACCTAACTCTAATCTATCCATAAACCTAAAGTGAACCCCAACTCTTAAGAACAAGTTCCTTTGAAGTAAATGGAGGACGAAACTTTCATCACATACACAATTACAGCACAAAAAAAAAAAGGATTTTTACTACTGAATGAGAATTGTCCATCAAAATTTTGTCAAGATTGAAAGTGTTATTCAAAAACAGTACCCAGAAACCAATACTTTGTCTAAAAGACAATTTATTTATAGTTATTGCGACTATGACATTTTACAAAATGACCTCAAAATCAAAAGCAGTATTATCCAACCTAAACTTATAAAGATTGAATTTACATCTCAACAAATAATATCATCCAATAACTTAAAGATAGATCATAGGTCAAACAACATTATCCTTTTATAAGAAGCAACCTTCACTGAGTCACTGACATGTCTACAATAAAGATAGGGAAGTGAAACATGAACCTATCTATTTCATTTTCATCCCATTAGAAAGCCATTTATACTACCAAAACAGTCAGTTTTAACAGATTTCCACAAATGTCACACACTTTTCTAGACTTCTAACAATCCTGATCAATATAATAATGACAGAACACAGAACTTAACTAAATTCTGCTATCCTACCACATGTTCACAACCTCAATTATTTTATACTGCATTGATAAACAAAACAAAGCAATAAATTATTTTTTTATCAATGGTTGCGTGTGAATTTGAAGGGTAAGAAATTTAAATGCTTGTTCTTAATTTTAAAAGCAGGAAACCATTTTCTTGAAAACGAATTTTATACAATAAGCAATCAAAAAAGTAATTAAATTTTACATGCAATAGTGGATCATTATTGCTTCCGAAAATTATGCAATTTTGTACATTAACAGGGAGTATTCCAGTGATTACAAAATAAATGTTAAAAACTAAAACAATATGAATTAAATAAACCAATGTGTTTTCTGGAAGGATCTATTTAAGATGTCTCATTTTTACCACATTTAAAAATGTGACATTTATTATTTGGTTTACTGAGGTTGCTGCCTCTCCTTTTATTCATATAAAAATCATAATACTTGGTCACTCCATATAATAACATTTTTCAGAAGGATTTTACATATTGCTATAGTTTGTTGAGACAACACATGTATATATTGGTTCTAAATTGGTAGATATTGTGAGATTTCTTTTTTAAAGGAGTTGTTTTCTATCTGTGTTTCAAACTACTGTAAATTCAGAAATTATTTCAAGGTTTTTATTAATGTGAATAATGCGACTAGATGACTATCGCAATAATAAGAACTCACATTCTTATATCTGATACATATATCTATATATGCAGATTTTCATGATATAGCAATAATTAATATCGCATTTTTGTCCATTCTTGAAAAATCGCAATAAAAAAAGCATGCACAAATTTCTGAATTTACAGTATACAGATAAGAGTTCGAGGGTTCAGAGCAAAAAGGTGCTATCTGCATTTTTCCACTTTTCTTACATTTTCATATAAAACTATGCAAAAAGATCAACTCTATATTGTATAAAAATATCTAATATGTATTTATAATAATTAAACTAATAATGTTAATTAACATAAGGGGCTATCTGCAATTAAAAGAAACCATAAGAGCAAAAGGGTGCTATCTGCAATCCATGTAGAGCAAAAAGGTGCTATCTGACAAATAGCACCTTTTTGCCCTCAGTAACTGATCAAATATTTAGATAAGAAAAAGCCATGTGTTATTAATTTTATTACTTAACATCCTATTTCTACATGATGCTGATGTATAACATATGTGTATGAATGTGTATTCATTGAGGAAAACAGAATAACATTAAAGACAAAGAAAATTAATTTATAAAGGTAAGTAATTAACTCTAATTACAATTTAAAAAAAATGATAATTTTTCAATTTTATTTGCATAAATACAATTAAATTCATTAGATTATGACACCAAAAATACCTTTAAACAAAAACAAAGCAAATCATTGCAGAATGTGTTGAGGGTCTACATGGGTGTGTTGATAAAATAACAGTTAAGTACTTGAATTATATTCTGTTTATCATGAAATAAAAAATTTCAAACTCATTTAAGTATTATTTTAGAAGGAAATATGATAATCCTTCTTTTGAATTGAATATACAGTAACCTCTTGAATAAAAATATAGTGACAGACTGGGGGTCTACAGAAGTATTCAATTTATGTTGTGATACTTTTGGACTAATAGCATAAAATAGGTCTGAATAAAAAATAAAAAATAAAAGTGAAAATATTTCAATTTTTCAGATGGATGACGAGGAGGAATGGTCAGACTGGTCAGACACTGACCTGCTGAAAATTAACAACTATTATGAATTAAATGGTGGACAGTCTACAGGTGAACCACATCATACAAGTGCCAGTCAAAATCAACATACTAAGAGCCCTGGAAATGGTGACAATGAATCAAACCATTGCGTTTCTGAAGAGTCTGAAAGTGGACCATCAAATATTTCAAGTGAGCAATCATCAAGTACAATCAGAGACAGGCCAAGTCAGCATGATGACATCCCTGGGAATGGTAGAAATGAAACCAATGCATGTCGTTCTAATACATCAGAAATAGAACTATCCAGTATTTTAACAGAACAATCATCAGCTAATACTACAAGGGATATAAGTGGTGAAAATGAAGATGAAAATATGCAGATTGGATCAGAAAGTACACAAGTACAGCATGAAGATGTTCAGTCAAAACACCAAAGCATACTTCCAAATAATAAAACGACAGCAGAAACTTCTGAACATCGAACTTTAGCTGGTTATACCTCTAATGATTCATCAAATGATGATACACCACTCATAAAGCTGACTAAAAACAAACATAGGCTAAAGAAACAAGATGCTTTGAGAAAAAGTGCTTTGAAAAGGCTGTTAAATGCTAAACGTTATATAAACAATGTTCGTGATAAACGTACAAAAGCAAGCAACATGACACCAGTACCAAGAAAAAAGCTTTACCATTTCCGTAAAAGACAAATCCTAATGAAACAGCCACCTATAACGACAAGTGATTTGTCTGATGATTCAGGAGATGAACTGTATCAACCAAGTAAAAAGGATCTTCAATCTTCAGACTCAGATATGACATCTGAAAGGGACTCTGTTAGTGAACCAGAATCTTTATCCAGTATACAGTTGGTAAAACCGAAGCAAAGGCATCGGGACAAAATTTGGAAAAGAAAAGGTAAAAGTTTAAAAAAGAAGTTTGAAAAGCAGAGGAAAATTATACATGCAACTAGCTCGCAGAGGCACAGATCAGGACCCTGGAAAATTAAAGAAAATGAAAGAAATGCAGAAGCAAATAGAACAAACTTGACAGAAACAGAAGCCATCAGATTAAGCCAAAAGGCAGCAATGAATAGAACGATCGTTCTGAAATACCACACAATTAGATTAGACAACCTCCTACTCAGTAATGGATTGAAAAGAATTCCAACAATAGCAGATGGGAATTGTTTTTTGTCAGCAGTTGTTAAGCATATCTCACCAGAAGGGCATGACATGAATGTCCAAATCCTCAGGGAAAAGCTGGTTGATCACATGTCACGTGAAGATTACCACTACAAGAGGTTCATATCGTTTGACCATGAAACAACTGTTGAGGGACAAAATCAAAAATTTAATAGTCTACTGCAAGATTTTAGTATTGATGGGCATTGGAACAATGAACTTGCTGACTTCATGCCTTTGGCCTTAGCTAACATGTACAACAGACCATTAAGGATATATTCAAGTATGGTGTCAAATTCAGTTTATGACATTATTCCTGACTTACAAGACACTGAGCATTCTCAGGAGTATATCAAAGTTGCTTTAATTGCCATAACAGGTCAGGAGCATTATGATGCAGTATGTCATTTGGATGAAGTTTATGTTTAACTGCAATGAAGTATTTTCTTAATTTATCTTAATCTTAATCAGCAATGCTTCCTAGGGAAAAAGTTTGCAAAACCAAAATAAAGATGTTTATATACACAAAGCCAAAAGAGAATAGGCTAATAAGATCTATTTTCCCTGAAGTTGTTTTAACACTAAGTTTTGTAAAATAAATCACAAAACATTTGCATTTGACACTTTATAATGAGCCATGATCAGTACAGCAGCACTAATTATAGTGTAGATGATATTCAATTAGCCAATATTATCATTGTAGGAGTTGTAAATCAGTCATACATATCACATAGCTGTATTCAAAGTCCTATTCTTGATTACTCAGCAAGAACTCACATTACAAATTCTATATCTTGTAAGGGCTGTTGGCTTATTTTACCATATTTAATCAAATGTAACATTAACAATAACAATACTGGTTTATTTTGGATTTCTTCACATTGTTCAAGTTTAAGTTGAACCTTAACTGAAGGATTTATAAAAGTTACTTGTTTGTTTACTACTCATCAACCTTTGCCTTTGCATGAAAAAGAATTTAAACCTTTTTTTTTGTCTTTCTTTCTTCTTCTTAAATTTTTTTATACTGTGGAAAAGATAAAGTTAACAAGCTAAATGCATAAAGAGGTGACGGGAAACAGCAACCCAAGAACATTAAGAGCTCAACATACTAATAGACAAGTGTTTATACAATATGCCAAGCTATACATTTTCCCCAAGTTTATAAAAGTTGTGAAGAAATTTGATTATAGACTTTCAAAGATCTACCAACAAGCCCCTATTTCGCCAAAAAAAAAAAAAAAAAAAACATTCAGTAATAAAGAAAAACAACCAGTGGCCACTGCCAAAACATGTATTATCAGACCGGTTAGTAAACTTTTTTGTGTTGGATGTCTTTTTGTTATGTTTTATTCATGACAATGTATATTTAAGAATACTTGAACATTTTTCATCACACTGCTAAAATTGTATATAAACTACTTAAAACCTACTTGGCAAAATAATTCATGAGTTTCTGGAACAACAAGCAACAAAAATGCACATTCTGCCTTTGTGTGGTCTTCAAGCTACAACAGGAATTCTCACAATTATTTAAATTATTATATAACTAATTATAAAGTTACTACATGAAAATTGTGAAATATTGGTTGCACAATACTTCATATCTATTTCCCACGAGGAAGGGAGACATGGCAATTTGTTCCCGAAGGAGTCATATTTCCATCAATTATGGGAAATCAATTTTATATTCACAATATAAATATCATTCCACTAATTAAATCATCAAAAGTTATCTCATGATATCACTTTTGCAAACATATTGTTCCTTTCTAAGACAACAATGTTGAACTTTTGGTTGGAAATGTTATTCTCAAAATATGGTGTTTTTTTTCTTTTCCATTTCTGATTAATTTCTTTGGTTATTAAGTGAACATGGATTCTAATTTTCCTCCATGAAAGATATATTTGACAGTTATGCCAATTTACATGACTAGTCCAATGTTTGTTCAATTTTCCATACCATCTTGGTATTTGCTATTCAACTAACATACCAGATCAGTTAAATTTTCTCAATAATTTCAGGTAAGTACCATATTTGGTTTTAAATGTTAAAACTGAATATAAATAAATGAATTTTGCAGCAATTATTTGATTCAACATAACATTATTTACTTAGCATGTTATCAAAATAATTGTAACTATCTAAACAGAAATGTCACGTACAATATTCTATTTGCTTACTCCAGTTTTTAATACCAATCCATGGGTATATAAAATAATCAAGCGATCATTGTAATTAACAAAGGGATAATCATTCAAGAATAATCATGTACAATTTGAAGATTAATAAAATCAAATGTATAAAACAATAAAATACAGAGCGCAGCATGATACGACCGAAGAGGTCAAACACTGAGCAATTGGGGCAAGTATGGACACAACATTCAAGCTTGATACAGCTCTGAATTTGGATTGTGATTAAATATTAGACACAGCATAGGTTTCTGACACAGAATGAATGTAGCTTAAGAACTTAAAAATTTGAAATTGCATATTTACCTATAATGGTCCAATATCAAAAATCTAAATGCATGGTTAGATTCTGCATATCAAAGAACCCCAAGAATTCAATTTTTGTTAAAATAAAACTAAGTTTAATTTGAACCCTTTGGACCTTAATGTGGACCAATTTGAAAACAGGGTCCAAAATCAAAAATCTAAATACACGGTTAGATTTGGCATATCAAAGAACCCCAATAATTCAATTTTTGATGAAATCAAACAAAGTTTAATTTTGACCCTTTTGACCTCAATATAAACCAATTTGATAGCGGGGTCCACAAATAAAAAATCTAAATACATGGTTAGATTCAGCATATCAAAGAACCCCATATATTCAATTTTTGTTGAAATCAAACAATGTTTAATTTTGGACCCCAATTTGGACCAACTTGAAAACTGGGCCAAAAATCAAAAATCTAAATACATGTTTAGATTCAGCATATCAAAGAACCCCATATATTCAATTTTTGTTAAAATCAAACAAAGTTTAATTTTGGACCCTTTGGACCTTTATGTAGACCAATTTGAAAACTGGACCCAGAATTAAAAATCTAAATACACGGTTAGATTCAGCATAACAAATAAATAAATGTGGTCAAAGATTTTACAAATCTAATGCGACATACTGTGCAATTAAAGATTACTTCTTGAAATTTTTCAATATTTGAAATTTGAAAAAATAATAATATTTGAAGAATGATTCTTTTTAATTTCTGAAACCCCCCCCCAATTTCTTTTTTAAAAACGTTGTATTTGGATTACCTCCCTTACACTGTTTTAAATTATCTTAATTGTTCATTAACCATTACTTTAAACATAATTTAAAAGCAGTGTAAGGGAGGTAATTTCAATGATGTATTTGATTTATCTCCCTTACACTGCTTTAAATTATGTTTTGTACTAAAGTATTTGACCATTAACCAGGACAACCTTGTTTTTCCCCCTTTTTTGCCCCTAATTCCTAAACGGTTTGAGCCATAACCCCCCAAAGCAAATCCTAACCATCCATTTGTGGTATGGAAACTTGTATAATATCAGAGAGATCCATACACCGTTCCACAGTTATTGTCTGGAAACTAGAAAATGCTTATTTTTGGCCCCTAATTCCTTAACTGTTGGTACCATAACCCCCAAAATCTATTCCAACATCCTTTTGTGGTATTTAACCTTATGGTAAAATTTCAAAGAGATCCATTCACTTAAACTAAAGTTAGAGTGCGAAAACCAATGTGTCTTCGGACAACGACGACACCGGACGACGACGCCGCCAACGTCATACCAATATACGACCGCAATTTTTGCGGTCGTATAAAAATAGAAGTTGGAACTCATATCATTGTCAATACTACATTATAAGTAAACCTTTGTTGAAGCAACTTTGTTTTTTACCACATAATTGTACTTAAAATGTGTTACATTATTGCTGTATGTCAATGATGATGATGGTCGATGGCTGTTTAACATTAAGTGGCAAATTAAATGCATATTCAGGACAAGAACATGTTAATATGATATGTATATGAACCCTGCTTTATATTAGACAGACAGCTGAATTTATCAGATTGATAGTGCTAGTTCAAAAGATAACAGCTCGCAGGAAGACTTGTCACCTTATCAGAACACATTATTCTGACTCCAGGCCAACCAGTCATTGCTCTTACTCCTACCGGGTAAATGCCACATGCTTGGCAAAGAAACAGAAAATACCACTTTTCAAGTCTTTGATTTGAGCAGGTCGAGGATTTAACACACACCTTTCTACACTCAAAGTGAGCATGCTACCACGAGACCACTGAGGCGGTCTATGTCTATGAATATAACAAATACACTTACAAATTTGAGAACTTTAATCTGTAAATCTGCTGCATCTTGGTCATATAATTCACCTGGAAGAGAGAAAAGCAGTTTAACAGATGAAAACAGTTAAACAAAGGATAATATATAAAAAATATTCATAAATATACAAGATCATTCCCAAGGCATTTATAGACTTCTGCTCAAAAACTACAAACATAAAGCTAATGTAAATAAACAAAATGTGAATTCAACTCAATAATTAATTTTCATTCTTTATATTGTATATAATAGGATGAAGAAATAATCAAAAAATGTGTCTTGGACATAACTGTTTATTTATGTTCTCTTCAGTCAATATTTATCAATTATGTACTTTTGACGAGGTCAATATTTTAAATATGGACCTGTCAAGATTATATTGACCAAGGACGAAGTCCAAGGTTCAATATAATCTAACAGGTCCATATATAAGGTATTGACTGAGTAAAAGTCCTTAATTTATATATTACATATGTCCAGTAAATAGTGGATTATGGAAATGGACCTCAATGTTCTTTCTGTGTATTTTACATTGTATTTTGCAAGATTTTTAATATTGACTGTCAAATATATATATAAATAGAAACATAGCATTTTGCAAGATTTTTAATATTGACTGTCTATATATTTATAAATAGAAACAGTGTTTTGCAAGATTTTTAATATTGGCCATCAATATATATCTAAAAAGAAACAGAGTCTATATACTTTATATCCTTTGCATCACATGATCGAAATAACCAATGAAAAAAGTAGAATGTGACACCATATGTAATATAACATCATAAACATAAATATGTATGTCCATTATAGCTCTTCTACATATATAGTTTTTGCTAAACTTAAATGAAGGAATAGCCTTACCCAAACAGAGTTTTCACAACATCAAAATTTTTGTACTTGTAAGTCATCTTTTGACAAAATATCTTTCTTTGCAAGTCTTTTGCTCATCTCAATAACAAATGAAGCAATTCAAGGAGTTTTGCAGTTTATCCCTTAGTGCATGAAGGTTGAATACCTATATCAATCATGAAAGACAAAAGTCAAATCATTTTGATGTTCATAGAACCTGCTTCAAAAAAAAAAATATACCCAGATAAACTACATTGGGAGTTGAATAAGCAAGACCTGTGCTATTTAATCTTTTTACACATAATAGGCCAGTGAACTGACATCACACACAAATTATTGTATTTAATATAGTGTTGGCAACACTGTGATAGCCACAGGGGAAATTTAGCTTTCATGTAGAAGAAAATGCTATTATGCCCCGTCTTTGATGAGTTTAATAATTGTTATATTTACGTCAGACAGGTAAGATATTTCAGTTCTACTTCCTAAGGGAATTACTATCAAAGGAAATCGCTTTATATTGCGACATACTTTCAATCTAACATATCTAATTTCTTATCAGATTGCCTAGCAATCTATTCCTACTCACTGACATAAGTCTGATGAAAAAGTCAACTAGTATTGTTCAATTAGCATTGATATTGATCATGTAAGATGTACAGTAAAGTATTAAATGGAAGTAAGTTTGCAAATGAACACATGCTTAAATTAACTTGAAAGTATGTATATGTAACTTGAGAGCATGATTCTTACTAGAAAATCACATTGTCTCCTCTGGAACTCGAACCTACGATCTCTGTGTTTCAAGTAAGCACTCTAACAGACTGAGCTAAAGGAGTAATTTTCTAGCTCAACCGCTTAAGGCTGGCTAAGTATCTACTATGCAAGGAAAGCAATCCCACCACACTTATATCAGTGTGGGAACTAATATTTTTTTATTTCTGAAATCTGCAAATAAACTTATATTTCTTTCGTTTTTTAATTCTTTCAGTTAAAGTTGTCAACTGGAACTTCTTTCTTTATTTGAAGATAGATATTTTTTACCAACTTCAACAGGTTTAACTTGTAATGAAGTGTTATTTTTTTACTCTTGGTGGAGACCTCAATAACTTTCAGATGATGAACAACAATAAAATCAATTTTCCATTGCTTTGAGTATTGTTGAGTGGTAAAATTGATTTGTGTAATCATGGTAATGAATAAAAGCACTGCATCCTTTCATTTACATTTAAAAATTGAAAACCAAACATAATATTGACCAATTGAAAAAAATTACCTTTTTGATAATTCTGAAAGTCTGTTATCATTTCAGCTGGCAAAGCCTCTTATGCTATAATTTCATTTGTAAACAGCACTGTTTAGACTAAATCAATGATATGTTAGGAACTGGTAGACACTTGGAAACTTTAATACAATGCCACAACTTTGTCAACAGAAAGATGTTTAAATTACAAGTGTGTCCTATGTTTATCTTTCCTATAAAACAACAACGAGCTGCCTTCTATCTATTGGATACCTACATTCTTTTTTATTGGTAAAAGAATAAGAATATTTATCGTTTCAATTAAGGGCCCTTGATAGACAGCATGACATTTATGCACACAAGACAATATAAACACTACGATTTTGTAATAGATTTAAAAATTTTTTTAAATGAAACATAAATGTTTGTATAGTTATAATAGATATAAGAAGATGTGGTATGAGTGCCAATGAGACAACTCTCCATCCAAGTCAAAATTTATAAAAGTAAACCATTATAGGTCAAAGTACAGTCTTCAACAAGGAGCCTTGGCTCACACCGAACAGCAAGCTATAAAGGGCCCCAAAAATGATTAGTGTAAAACCATTCAAATGGGAAAACCAACGGTCTAATCTATATAAAAAACGAGAAACGAGAAACACTTATGAACTACATCAACAAACGACAACTACTGAACATCAGATTCCTGACTTAGGACAGGTGCAAACAATTGCAGCGGGTTTACACGTTTTAATGGTACCAAACCTTCACCCTTTTTCTGAAACAATAGTGTAACATCTCAACATAGAAAGACCTACATATATTGCAGAGTCCTTCCACAAGGAGTTCCCTTCTATCTACTGAAAACATATGTCTGCATTCGTTTTATCGGTATATTGCAGGGTCCTTCCTCAAAAAATGATGGTCTTAAAGGGCATTCAAAAATATGACACTGTTGGGTTTTTTTTATTATAATGAAAGATCACATGATCATTAGATACTGGAGATTTTCTAAAAGTTTCATTAAAATTCAAGTAACTGTTTTTAAGAAAGAGCAGCAGATTAAAGATATAGACAGGAAAAATGAATTTATAAAAAACAAACTTAGAAGAGTGGGTGCAATCACAAATACTTCAAATTCTAGAACTAACAAATATATTTTACAGTGATAATAGCTACTATCATGACAACGTTCTAAGTTTGTTTGAAATTTGAAATGGTTAAAGATATGTATGAAAAATCACCATAAGAATACTGAAATGTTTATAGAAAAACCATAGGAGTGTAATAATAATTAAACTTTAATATTGCGCTGTATTCCTGGTAATCTCAAATATCAGTTATTGGGTTTCCATCCGAATTTGACGACAATTAAGTGTGAAATGACACAAATATTTTATATTTACAAAGAGATATATAGCATATGCATTATTCAGGTTTTCATAAATATTTCATCAATTCCTTAAAATCAATATGCATAAATTTAAAAGTTAATGTTGTCAATGATAAAATGTCAAAACATTACATTTTCTTGTATTTTACTTAGGTACTATTTTTGGTATTTGGTTCCCACAGTGTTCAATATTTTCAAAATGGGGTGAGTTCATTATCATTTCATAGAATAAACTTCTGCAACAAGTCTAGGTTATTTTTCTGTTGGATTCAATTTCTAAAGGAACAAAAAATCTGACTTGGAAATAATTTTTGCAGATGCCAATAAATGGCTTTTGGAAGTATGTGCTAAAAATTTTCAATAAAGACATATACAGTGTAAGAAAGTGGGAAGTCCAGAAAGGTTCAAAACAGACTACTTTATTCAAATACAGAAGGCAAGGATTAGGCTACTTCAAGATTGAGGATGAAGATTAGTACAAAATTGTAAAAAGTTTCTGATTTTTGCCACTTTCGATCAAAATTGTCTTTAGAAGACTATTTTAGCAAGCTCTGTATTCTTTCAATAGTAGTTCTTATTAACTGAATGACTTATAAAAAGAGAGGCGAAGGATACCAAAGGGACATTCAAACTCATCAGTCGAAAATAAACTGACAATGCATTGCTAAAAAGGAAAAAAGACAAACAGACAAACAACAGTACACAAAACACAACATAGAAAACCAAAGACTGAGCAACACGAACCCCATAATCAACTGGGGCCAGGGGGTGATCTCAGGTGCTCCAAAAGAGAAAGCAGATCCTGCTCCACATGTGGCACCCGGAGTTAACAACCAAAGGTCACCGCATGGCCTTCAACAATGAACAAAACCAATACCTCATAGTAAACTATAAAAGGCCTAGACATGACAAATGTAAAACGATTCAAAAGAGAAAACTAATGGCCTGATTTAAGTACAAAACAATAAACGGAAAAAAAATATATGATATACAGCAACAAACAATGATCTACAGGCTCCCGACTTGGGACAGGCACATATATAATGTGGTGGGGTTAAACTAGTTTGAAGGCCCCAACCCTCCCCTAATCTGGGACAGTGGCGTAACAGCACAACATAAGAACAAACTATAAAAATCACTTGAAAAGGGCTTAACTAATCAGATTGATACCAAAAAAAAAAAAAAACAACTAACAAAAACACAATACCAGACATGGAAGGGTATCTATAAATTCCCCACAACAACAAAAAAGACACAAAGTACAGATCTGAGAATACTCCCAGTTACTGAAAGCTAGCTCAGTTTCTCGATTATTTTCTTGTGTCATCATTATGATCATTGCAAATAACTGTTCTGTAGGACAAGATGATGATGAAGATGATTAATTGTTGGTGTTTTAATGCAACTTTCAGTACCATTTGCTATATTGCTATATTGTGGCTGTCATTTTTTAGTGGTGGAGGAAGCCTGGGGAGAACCACGAACTTTGGCAGGAAAAGTGACAATCCTAGTCAATTAAAATTGGTTTGAACTCCCTGCCACACCCAGGTTTGAACTCACCT